GAGACCAGGAAGCCCGGCCGGTGTGGCTCGGTGGTTGAGCATCTACCCAGGAACCAAGAGGTCACCAGTTTGATTCCTGGTCTGGGCATGTGCCCAAGTTGCAGGCTCAATCTCCAGTAGGGGGCGTGCAGGAGGCAGCGATTAAAGTTTTTCTCTTATAGATGTTTCCATCTCTCTCTCCCTCTCCCTTCCTCTCTCCCTAAAAATCAATAAAAACACCTTTTTAAAAAAAGAGACATGAGGAAGGTGCACTTGGGTTCAACTTAAGTCCCAGGAATCCCAGTCAAAGGCATGGAAGACTCCCTGGCCTCAGGGTCCCCTGCCCTGGACTACTTGGCAGGGCAGCACCCGGGTGTATAAAAAAATGGGACAGTGTCCTTTACGTGGTGTTTGTGACTTTAAGTGAAGTAGGACCTCAGCTGTTTATTAAGCACCTACTGTGGTTAGCACTAGCGTGCACATGATGGGCACTCAATAGGTATCCCTGGGGAAAATGTTTTATTGTGTATCTTCTGTTAGGGTGCCTGGGGATGGGCAGCCAGTGCCAGGAGAAGAGCAGGTGGCCCCCTCACGTAGCCCATGAGCACCTCATAAAGGAGCCCGAGTGACTGACAAGCCCAGAAATGGGGGTTGGTGTTGCCCTGGTCCAGGAGTAGAGGGAGACATTTGTTTTCTCTGGGAAAAATCTTTTCCCCCCAGAAATTCTTCATGACATTTTTTTTCTAAGAAGAGCAGTCACAGTGAGACAAAAACCATGATTCCTACCGGGAGGCCTCCCTCCCCTCCCGGGGGAGTGAGAGAGAACAAGGCGGGGAGGCGCTGAGACTCTAGTGGCTCAGTCTTATAGCAGCCTAGCAGGACCCATGGCTGAGGAAAGGCGCAAAGCATGGGTGAATGCAAACAGACCAATGATAACTACCACCACTGACTCTGCTGTAGCTGTCGCTCTCACCTTGCAGCAAAATGCTTGACATTTATTAACTCATTTAATCCTCACAATAACCCTCGGGGCCAGTGCTAGCATTACCTCCATTTCATGCTGAGCAAAACGAGGTCCAGAGAGGTAAGCAACTTGCTCTCAGCTAGTAAGTGGTAGTGCCAAAGATTACAGTCTAGGCAATTGACCAAATTGGCATTTCTATATACTAATATAATAAAGAAGATAAAATGGAATAATAAAGGCATTCAATTAATTCAAAAGAAGGAAGAAAAAGAGGAAAAAGGAAACAGATCAGATGGAACAAACAAAAAACAACTAGCAAGATGACAAACAGCAATGTAATTTAAACCTAACCATTTCAATAATTATCTATATATATAAAAGCCTAAGCGACCAACAGACTGGCCGACCGGCTGGTAGCTATGATGTGCAATGATCACCAGGGGACAGATGCTCAATGCACAGGCATAGAAACATGGAACAAACTGATGAATCTCATAGGGAAGGGGGGAGGAGGGAGGGTGGGAAGATATTAACCAAAGATCTTATATGCATACTAGAAGCCTGGTGCACGGATCTGTGCACCAGTGGGGTCCCTTGGCCTGGCCTGTGGGGATCGGGCCAAAACCAGCTCTCCAACATCCCCCAAGGGGTCCTGGAAGAGGGTGCAGGCCAGGCCAAGGGACCCCACTGGTGTATGAATCCGTGCACTGGGCCTCTAGTATTAAATATAAATAGGCTAAATAAATATTCTCATTAAAAGGCAGAGCTACATTTTGGCTGGTGTTGCTCAGTGGTTGAGCCTTGACCCATGAATCATGAGGTTGTGGTTAGATCCCCAGTCAAGGCACATCCTGGGTTGCAGGCTCGATCCCCGATGAGGGGCATGCAGGAGGCAGCCGATCAATGATTCCCTCTCATCATTGATGTTTCTATCTCTCTCTCCCTTCCTCTCTGAAATCAATAAATAAAAAATTATTTTAAAAAAAGGATTTGTTAAAATGTAAAAGGAAAATCAGAATTCTGAATTAGTCCAGGTTGATGGACCGTGGTTCATTGAATTTAAGTTTCGGGTTTGTAGTTAAGGTTGGACTGAAACTATTCTAGACCTGGCTCTGAGGCTCACTCTGACTTGGGCAAGTCTTTTCCTAATTTGTAAAATGTGGATTCTGAGCCTCAGTTTCCTTATTTGTAAAATGGGGCTCATTCATTCACTTATTTATGCAACAAATAATTTATTGGACTTTTACTTCATGTCAGGCTCTATAGTTGCTTCCTTGAACAAAGGAGACAAATGTCCCTAATGATAAGGAGCTCACAGTTTAGTGGGGAAGACAGACAACAAACGAATAAAGGAAGTTATGAAATGTGAGATGATGATAAGTCTCTAGTAAAAATAAAGCAGAGTAAGAAAGAGAGGGGGACATGGGTGGGCCCGGAAAGGCATTCTGATAAGGTGCGGAGACATGAAGAAACCCAGGTGAGCCATGTGGACATCTGCGTTGGGGAGAAGGAGCATTCAAAGCAGAGGAAACATGGGGACAAGAGCCCTGTGGTGGGGGTCCACTTGGAGTCTTTGGGAAGAGCAAGGAGGCCAGTATGTCTGGAGCAGTGATCAAGGTCAGAGAGGTAATGAAATCCTCATCAGACAGGGCCCGTAGCCATGGTAACAGCATTCACTTTCACTCTGAATGAGGTGGGGAATCAGTGGGGGTTTCTCCAGAATTTGAGTGATGGGATCTGACTTGTGTTTTACAAAAGAATTATTCTACATGGACTACAGGGAGGCAAGGACACCGGGGGAGGCGGGGACTGCATATGAGGCAAGTGCAACAGTGAGGGGAGAAGTACTGGAGGCTTGGATTCTAGTGGAGATGTGGAGGTGGTGATGAGAGGCTGAGCTCTGGCTTTATTATGAAGGTGGAGTGAGGAGAATTGGATGATGGATGAGATGAGGGGTGAGAGAGAAAGAGACCAAGATGATTCCAAGGATCTTAGTCTGAGCAACTGGGTGAAGAAAGAGGCCATTTATAAAGATGGGGGGATAATAATACCTAATCCTTGTGAGGCTGTTTCAGGGATGAAATGAGATCATGTAAGTGAATGCACTTCCTGAACTTAAAACACTACGTGGATGTAAAAGATAATAATTAGAAAGCCACTGAGGAGTTGCTAAGTCTCAAATATGCCCAGGTACCAATGTCTTAAGGCCAAAAGGCAGTGTTGATGTTCTTACTGACATTTTTCTATTCAATAAAGAAAAGTTGTTCTGAATGGGCCAGGGGCTCATTCAACGAACCACAGTCCACCAACCAGGGGTAATTCTGAGTTTCCTTTTATGTTTCAATACACAGCGAAGTGGATACGACTCATGACCTCAGCCAGGCTTCTTAAAAACTCCTCTCTCTAATCCTCTAAGCAGCGACACTGCTCCGAAGTTTCTTTCACTCTCCCCCACACAATGGGGCTCAGTAAAGCTATTTTAAGTTTAAATGAAAAAAAATGTAGTTCATAATATTTCCATTTTCCCTGAATCTTCCCTTGTGCAACTAAGGTTGCTCCCCTGGCTCATGCCACACTGGCTCTGACGGTGCTATATCCACTGTTCACTTTTCAGGACTATTCTAGGCCCTCCTGGTATATGTCCCAGCAGGGGTAATCTTTAAATGGCAGTCTAGTGATATTAAATAGCTATGGAACAGGTCAAAGTGAGCTACATATTTCTTCTTTCATCTATAGGATCAAGATACCTGAAATATGTTAAAAATTTTACAAATAAATCAACAGAAAAGTTCCTGAATCCAGATCAGTTAATTCAATTTCCAACAGAGTCAAGGAAAAAAATGTGGGAACTTGTCCAATGGGAAAAATAATACCTATGCCAAGTATTTGCTCTGGGGATGACATGAGGGAGTATTTGTGAAACTCCTGGTATGGGGCTCCCACAGCCAGGAATGTGGGTTGAGCTACTGATCCCTTTAAAGAAGATTTTAAAGAGCAGTTTTGAGGACAGATATTCATTCATATTTTTGGCCTGTCTCTTTGGTCTGCCCTCCCCTCCTCACTTTTCTCTCTCCGTCTCCTGCTGTGAGCCAGGGTTTTGCTAAAGATGCCAACTTCTCCCTGTGCTACAGAAACCCCACAGAATTCTCCAACCGTTTGCTTGAAACCCGGATGTGTACCTTGAAGAGGAGAGAGATGCGGGAGAATTCCCATTCAACAGTTTGGAATATATGCCAGGAATAAAAGAAGGAGGAAAAGCTGACTCCATATGAGTTGATTGTTTGAAGGTCGCCAAGGGCAACCGCTCACACCCTCTGTATGTGGTTGATAATGAAGGTGCAAGAGAGGGAGTCACAGGCTGAGAAATCAGAATGCCTGGGACAAGGTAGATGAAGCCAATGAAACCTCTGAAGCCGGAATCACCCAGCATGCTTCTAGGAAGGCAGTGGCTGTCCTGGGAATCCCGGCCCAGAGGAGAAGGAAATGGTTCTATCTTGACAGTTAGCACCGAGGCAAACACAGGGCGGTGATCCTAAGAACGGAGGAAGCTATGGCACAGCCGGCCCTCTGCTTCCATGGGTTCCGTGTCCTGCGATCCAACCAACTATGATAAAAAATATTCTAAAAATGGTAGGTTGTGGCCAGTGTCTACTATGTAGTCAGGCCTAGATGGCTGAGTCTGTACTGAACACGTACAGACCTTTTTTCTTGTCATTATTCCTTGAACAATATAGTATAACAACTGTTTACATAGCACTGACATTGTATGAGAAATGATAAGTAATCTAGAAACTAGAAACAACTTAAAGTATATGTGAGGATGTGCCTAGGCTACATGCAAACCCTACGCCATTGCGTCCTGGGGGGTCCTGGACCCAATCTCCATGCAGACCGCAGACAACTGTAAATATGAGAGTAAGTATTTTAATAACCTCTCATGCATCTTTTGTGTTTCTTTCCATGTGGTTCTCTGAGGATCAGTTTTTCTATTTAGAAAACATGTTAAGAAATAAATAGAAGCGTGTCCAAAATTGCCCCTCAGAGAAGGAGCACTTACCCAGAATGCTTCATGTTTTGAGGCTTATCCATTCGGACAGCGAGTTTGATTTTGAGGTCTTGATCCGGGCAGTTTTTGGAGACTGTCATTTTGTGCCACTCTGACTGCTTGGGGCTGTTCGGGGTGGGATGGAGAATAACCTGTTGGAATAAAGGACAACCGTCTTAGCGGGGAAATAGAAGCGCTGCTATGGGCATGTTTTGGTGGATGAGAAACTTTGCTGCGGAGAAGGCGTGTCTTGCGCAGGTTCCATCGCCCAAGGGAGGGCAGTCATGTGAAGCAGAGTCCTGGCCATCGGACTCAGAACCAAGGCTTTGCCTCCCAACCCGGCTGCCTCCTGCCACCCAGCCCGGCCCGAGGACAGAAATGTTGTTCTCTGCTCCCTTCTCTCTCTCCCTGGCTAATTCTCTAAAAGTAAGGATTGTGGTTTGCCTGGTCCTACTCTCCTACTTTTCCAAAGCTCAGAAGCACCACAGCAACAGAATGTTCTCCGCCCATCATCCTCTTCCCAGAGAAGACGGGTGTGAAGGGAAGAAACACCTTACATCTCACAGGGCACTGCTAGCCCACTCTTCTCCCTTCCTTTGGGATCCCTCCCACCATCGCAGCAGGAGAAGCCCTCAGAGGCTGCAGGGAAGGTGGGGGGGCCTTATTTGATGGGTGGGAAATGTGCCATTTAGAGAGGGAAGGGACCTGCTGCCAGTCACACTTCTCAACCGATTTCAGCTGCACTTTCATCTCATCACAGGACGGCCCGCTCTGCCCTGACGGGAAGGGTGGGCTCCGAGACAGACTCCGCAGTGGCTTCGGGGATGGTGCACCCGTGGGCCTTGTGCCTCAGGTCTCCCTGCCTCCGCGGCTGTGAGTGAAGCTCGGTGACTCCCCTTCTGCAGGGAGATGAACGAGTTCCCAGGAGCATGTGGGGCCGGGGGAGCGTGCACCCAGAAGGAGCGGAATTTGGAAGATCCCCTGAACCACAGGGACGGGAACTAAACACAGGACAACAGAAGCTGGGCTGGCTGAGCTTTGCCTCTGCGCTGGCAGCCTGCCCTGGTTGCTTTGGCTTTGCTTTCAAAGCTATTTTCTCCAGGAGTGGGCAGGCTGGCCCCTCTCCTGGGCTCCTGTCACCTCTGGAGGGCTGGGAGGGGCCCTGCAGAGGCTGCCCCACTGTCATGTGAGCTCAGCCTGGGCTCAGAGGCCAGGGGCCCAGGGGTCTCTGGGCGACTGTGCATCAAGAGCTCCGAGAAGAGGAGGGGCCGAGGCAGAAAAGGACCATCTGCCCATATCACAGGCCTCGCTTGTGCTGATTTTCACCCTCTGACTCCAAGCCTGACCCTTTATTTTTTCTTTTTCCATTAAATTCCCTCTCTCTGATGAAGGGAAATTTGTGTATTTTTGCAAAGACGAAATTAGAGTCTTCTCAATGTCTTATGATTGAAATAAAAGAAATCCCCATATTTCAGACCACAGGCTGCCAACGTGTTTTTGACCATGCCTTCCTGCCCAGGCTGGGCTTCTCCTCTGAGCTCCCTGCACATCACCCCACCTCACCTGCCAGGAGAGAGGGTCAGCCCTCTCCTGACCCTTACATCAGTAAGATATTTTGAGCAATTGGCCCAATGTCTGTAACCGTATCACTATCAATATAAAATATGTCAATATGAACACAGGCACGCCTCAGAGATATTGCGGGTTCAGGTCCAGGCCACCGCAATAAAGCAAGAATCGCAAAAAAGTGAGTCACACAAAGATTTTGGTTTCTCTGTGTATCTAAAAGCTATGTTCACACTATACTGCAGTCTATTAAATGTATAGCAGCATTATGTCTAAAAGAACTTTTTTGCTAAAAAAAAAAATGCTAATCATCATCTGAGACTTTGGAAAAATTGTGCTGATGGAATAGCTCAGGCTTGCCACAAACCATCAATTTATTAAAAACAAACAAACAAACCACACAAAACAAAACGGGAAAATTTGAAATGCTGATATATAAATATCAGTAAAAATATATGCCCATATATATATATTTCACATTTATATGTCTACTTTGTGTTAACATTAATTACATATATCATAGAACATACACAAATACAGACGTCTTAAAAGATGGGCTAAAGACAAAAAACTATAGTCTAAGTCTTGCGCATGGTGGTGGCTGTGTTCTATGATTAGCCTTACTTGCTGTATGTTCAGGGCAAGGCTGATCGTTAAGGGTACGGGATGTGAGTCTGCATTTCCCATAGTCCTGACCGGCGTGGGTCCTGTGTGATCACCGGCCGCTTAGTCTCGGGTGGTGACGGAACTCTGCGAGCAGGCCTGGGGGCAGGCCACTGTTATCATGCTGCTTGCCAGGCTTGAATATTAGGACTACCTTCAATCAGAGCTCCTCTGTGGGAATCTCTTTGGGCATTTGTTCAGTCTGTTAATTTAGGGTTAATTTAGCTAAGATTCGATCATCATATATGTAAGTTCACGTCACTGGCACCACTGGCCTTGGACTTGCTGGAGGACGCTGGACGTAAATGAGTCAGGGTGCCACGGGGTGCGGGGGGTGGGGGGACCACTCCCTGCCCTCAAGAGAACTCTGTCATCTTCTGTATCCTGAGACCTGAGCCTGGAGGGTGGGAGGAGGGCTGCTGATCCCAGCGAGGCTGACCCTCTCTCCTGGCAGATGAGGTGGGGTGATGTGCAGGGAGCTCAGAGGAGAAGCCCAGCCTGGGCCGGAAGACAGCAGGCCAGGCCCTGAGCCTCCTTCCCTCCTGCCCATTTGGCAAAGTCAGTGGGAGCAGTGCCCTGGGCGCCCGGAGCTCGTCAGCAGGCCTCCCACCATATGGTTCTGGGCGTTTCCCACGGCCAATATGATGTCCGCTTGCCAAAGCAAATGGCCTCCGCTCAGTACTGGCCTCTCTACAAACACTTCTTCCCCCACGTGGGGGCCTCTGGGGGGACCCCCTCTCCAGTGTGGATGGGGAGATGAGGTCACTGCACTCTCCTCTGTCTTCATCCCCACCCTCCTGACCGGTCGACGACTCCTTTGTACGTGTCAACCTTGCTGAATTATTAGGGTCCTTCTGGGTGCACATAAGCCCGGCGCAGCCCAGACACCTCATCTGGACATTCCAGGCTGCTAATCAAGCACTTCGTCATCTCAGCCGCAGCCATGTGTGCTGTGCTTTGATGTGGTGATGCTGATGTGGGAACACAACTGGCCCCATGCAGGAGCGGTAAGCTGCTCGCCAGCCAGCCCTAGCTGCTCTTAGGAACCTGGGCACCCAGGCAGGTGCTCCCAGGGGACTGTTTCACCCTGATATCCCTCCCTACCTCTGTGTTCCCCTGGCTGGAAGGCATCCCCACCCCTAAGACTGGACTGTGTCCCCTGGCTATGGGCTCCTCCACACACTGCGCTCTAAGTCCTAGTTTTTATGTCCATAGCCTTTACATTTTTTGAGGTTAAGTTTTTGCCTGCCATTATTCCTGTTTGCTCTGTGCATAGCACAAATGACAGAACACATGGGCCCATAATCATTTTTAATGCATAAAAATTGCATAGTATTGGAGTATGGGCATGGGTTTGGGGAAATAGTCACTCTCCTGCCTTTTGTAGAAGTATCAGTTGGCATATACTACTCCTTTGGGGACAATTGGGCAGTATCTATCAAAATTCAAATTTCATTCAGCAAAATATTTTTTGACATTTATCCTATACAGGTACACACATATGTGCAAGGAAATAAATTGAAGATCATTTACCGAAGCTTTGTTTATATAGCCAAAGACTGAAAACAACCTAAATAAATTCTGATGCATCCACACAATGGAATACTATGCAGCTATGAAAAAGGAGGGAAGTCAATATGGCTGACATGGACTAATCTCCAAATACACTGATAATTCAAGCAAAGTGCAGAGCAGTATGCATACAATAATTTTCTAGTGTGTGCTCCTTTTTAAAGAGGGATATATGCACACATGTCTATATATGCTATGCTTGTATGTGCATAGGCTATTTGGGGAAGAATATACAATAAACTGAAAACAAGGCTCTTTCTTTGGGAAACAATACTAGGGTGAGGTGGAAGGAATCAATGGTTTCACTACATGTCCATTTAATTTTTTTTACAGCATGCATAGCTTTTTATTTATTTATTTATTAGAAAGGTTAATAAAAATGAAACATAATAATATGAAACAAGTTACTACTGTGGGATGAATGAAGGTAGAGCCGGGATTTTGAACGTGGCTGTGTCCTGCTACGCTTGGGAAGAACAGCATAGACCAGTGGTCGGCAACCTCATTAGTCAACAGAGCCAAATATCAATAGTACAACCACTGAAATTTCTTTCGAGAGCCAAATTTTTTAAACTTAAACTATATAGGTAGGTACATTGTTATTAACTTAATTAGGGTACTCCTAAGCTGGCCTTTGCTAAAAACGTCCTCAATCTGATTGAGGTACGTTTGCTGAGGTCGACCCCTTCCAACTCTCCCATCCACACTCGTCTTGTATACTTGTTTCGTCTATTTCCTTTCGCTCATCCTCTCTATATGTCCAAACCATCTCAACATACCTTTCTCAATCCTCGACACTACATCTTCTTTCACTCCACAACGTTCCCTAAAATTAACTTAATAAACTTTACTTAAAGTTTTAAGCCAACTTCACACTGTACGTGCACGCCCGCACGTGGCATTTTGTGGAAGAGCCACACTTGAGGAGCCAAAGAGCCGCATGTGGCTCGAGAGCGGCGGTTTGCCAACCACTGGCGTAGACACACTCTCCTGAGGGCTCCAAGGCACTTCACATTGAGAAAGACCACTTAGCAGTCACAGCTGTGGCCTGTGGCGGTGCCACCAGCAGAGGGCGCCCCAGCTGGCACGAGGGCCCGTAGGCCAGCGCCAGAGCAACTGGCAGGAACAAGTGTAAACTAGTATCTGGGGGAATATATAAGAGAGAATGATCTATTAAGAAAAGAATGGCTGTGTGGGGCCTGTGGTGAACTCATGGCCACAGAGCTGAGGAGTGTATTTCTGCTGAGGACGCTGTGGTGTAGTAAAAGTGGCCCTGCGGTGAGGCAACATCACTCCTGGTGAATTACCGCCTCCGGACCCAGCGGGCAGGTCAGTACAGGAGGAGTGCTATCTGCAGCTGCCTCACTGGGACCATGGCGAAGGCTGGACGAGGGGCTGCACATTAAGGGCTTAGGACAGCGCTGGCCAGCACTGCCCGGGACCCAGCAAACCCGGGGGCTCTGGGCAAGCTTCCTGACTCTTCAGGAATCAGTTTCTCATCTCCAAAATGAAAGGCTTTGACTAGCCCAGTGGTTTCAACTTTTCTGAGTGGGAACAGCTTTGAGAAGCTGGTGAAAGCTTTGAACTAGTGAGTCCAGAAAAATGCACATATCCGCTCCCCCCGCCCCCCACCAACACACACACACACACTATTTGCAGACAATTTCGAGGGGCTCCCGGGTCCCCTGGAATCCTCCCTGGACTCAGGTTGAGTGCTCCTGGGGTTGTCTCTTCTAACATGCATATCCTAGCTCTCTGAGACTCTCGGGATTCTTGACACGATTCTTCATGGAAAAAGAAGTTTGCAGAAAAATAAAAGGCAGGCGACTTCCCCATCTGTGTGCCTCTCCCGAGGAGCAGAAATGAATACTTGTCATTTCTCAAAGAAAACACTACACGTCTTCTTTTCTTTCATCCCCCTCCTTTTTTGGGGGGAAGCACTCTTTTTGCTATTAGCTTTGTTTGCTTTGTGTTTTACTTCCATCTGTGGTGCGGGTCCCAGTAATATGACTCCAGGTCAGGTCTACAGATGAAAGGCAGAAAAGGAAGTGAAAAGACAAAGGAAGAGAGAAGGAAGCGTGGGTAATGTGTTCTTGCTGGCGTTGTGATGTGCGCACACCTGTGTGCTTATCTTGGGGTATTCTCTTATTCTCTAGATAAAATATCAGAGGCCCAGAGAGGTTAGAAGTCTTGGCTGAAGTCACACAGCTTTCAGAAGGGATTGTTCATTCGGCCAGTGGGAAATGAAGTCTATTGAGAGTCTATGTGCTGGGCTCTGGGAATGGGGTGACGGACAAATCGTTTAAGTTTCTGTCTCCATGGAGCTTTCACAGCCTGGTGGGGAGGCTGGAGGTAAACATTTCTGTAAATTCTTCCTCTCTTTCTCTCAGTGGTGATAGGCTCAGTGGAGGATCTGAACAGGGGCTGCGGTAGCAATTAAAGGAGGATGGATAGCCAGCAAGGGCTGTCTGAGGAGGGAGGAGGGGCATGTATAAAGAGGTAGCCTTTCAGAGATTCGGGAGGTGGGGCCAAGGCTCCAGGCAGACAGAAAGGCCCCTGAGGCGGGAAAGAATTTGGTTTATTTGAAGGACTCAAATTTGGCTGAAGATACTGGGGCTCAGTGGCAGCAAAGGGCTGAGGAGGCGGGCAGAAGCCTGATCCCGGATCACCCGAGCCTTTGTAGGCTGCGTTCCAGAGCTCAGATGTTATTATACGCAGTGTAGGGTGATGGAAGCATTTCCAGCTAATTAACTTCCGGTCTGAAAATACCACTGGCTTTTTGGTGCAGCGTCAATAGCTGAGATGCAAGAAGAAATGCCTTTCTGATCTCAGTAGTACTCAAAGGGAGTGGTACCATCCACCGGATGTTTCAAAAATTGGGCGGGAGGACTTTTTTGGTTGAAAATCATTGGTGCTGAGCTCTGTTGGTGTGGTAGTTGCATGGTGGGCCCCAGGGATAGTAAACATCTGGGAACGGAGTGAGATGACCCTTTCCAATAGGGAATTGTCCTGCATCCCACCTGACTTTTGAGTATTCCCACTGACTATAAACGCAGGTGGGAAAACCTGTTGATGACTTAACTGGGTCCAGCTTCTAAAAGATTTGTTACCCATGCACTCAAAGTATATTTCGCACTTTTCCAGGGAAATAAAAGCAATGTTGTTACCAACACTGGTTTATCCATTCAATAAGCCAGTTCGCTGGTGCTCAGGCTTTGGAGTCGCCAACCTCCACAGCGGATTTTTATAATTTCACATCTTGAAATGATACTATCATTGAGTCATTGCCTTTGATTCTCCCTTTATGTGATGTTGAGTTGATTTAGATTGTTAGGTGGGTCGGTTTGTTAAGTCACCTAAGACTTTCACTTCAGGATAGTAAAGGGCATGGAGCGCTTTGGCCTGAGGGGTGTGGGTTGGAAGGTTGGAGGACCCTGCTTGGTAGTTGGTCTTCGGCAGAGTGCACTGTGGTGACCAGATTGGGGGCGGGGAAGCTGAGGCTGGAAGAGGTTGAAGCACTTGCTTGCTCAAGGTTGCACCGTCCATGCAGAGAGCACCCCGGGATCTAAATGGCCAAGCCAGTCCTTCAGCTCTTGGCAATGCTGCCTCGGGGGACCTGGAGGCACCCGCTCTCTGGAGCAACCTACGTGCATCCGGCTGTGAGGGGAGCACTTACCCGCCCGAGTTCCTTGTCCTCCAAGGCCAGGACGCCGGTGCTCTCTGTGAACAGCTTCACCTTCACAGCAGGCAGCGCGTGGGTCGTGGAGAAGTCGCCCTGGGTGCCCCAGCTGTGGACAGAACAGGAGAGGTCAGTGTGGAGACCTCTGCCCGGAAGATGCTAAACTCAGCTGCCTTCTTCCTGGGTCGGGTGAGTGCAGGGTTAACCGAGGCGGCGCTGGCTGTCACATCCTCCTCCCCGCTCCCCCCAAAAGCTGCCACAGTGACAAAAAGTGTTAATTATCTTGTTAGGCAAATGCAAGACAGATGCTCAGAAAGTTGCCAAGGGTCTTCACGGAGCACGGGGAGGAATCAGGAGTTAGCATGAAATCAAGTGGTGAGAACTTTCCCTCATGCTCCTGCTATACCTACACATATTCTCAGGTAACCACTAATGAATATTTCCTCGCATCCTCGGAGTCCCTGGTTCTTAGAAGCTGCAGTTCCAGATTTTGAGATGGGGCTTCATTTGGTCTGAGCCAACACCTGACTTTAAAACGAGACTTCCGTAGTAGTGGGAAGTGGGGTGCTGAGGAGCCTCACTTCTCTTGGCATTCAAAGATGAGTGGGATAGAGAGTGGGTGGAGCTCAGCCTGTCATGAAAGATGGAAGGAGGGAAGTGGTAAAGTCCCTTCCCCACTCATGGTGTGTGGGCATCTGAGTCTCAGACCACCCCGAGGAAAGCCTGGCTTACCTAGCACAGGGTAGAGTGCCAGGCGGGGCTGACAGGAGCCCCTGAGGGGCCCCTCACATGTGGCCTCTCCATTCACTCACCTTATGGATACATTATAATTTACTTAATCATTGTTCTATTATTGAGACTGGGATGGACATTACTTTTTTATTTCAACTCTGATCATTATTCTTACTTGTTAGTACAGGGCCATCTCCACCCACTCTTGTATCTGAAACTTGACCTTCTGGAAGTGTCACTGCATTGCACTGAGCCCCTGCCCTAAACCCTCCCATGGTAGCTGCTCCAATGCCCACAAGATGCCATCCAGACCCCTTGGTGTGGTCTCCCATTCACCCGCTGCAGTGCCATGGGAGTCTGTCGGGGCCACCTCGGGCTGTTGCAGGGCTGTTGCCTTTGCTGGTGCTTCTTCCCACCACATCCTCCTTTTGGTTCTCTCTTACATTAGCTTGGACACCCCTTTCCCGGAGAACATGGCCCATGGTCTCCTGGTGTAAATTGGGCTCCAGTGTGAAACGCTCTTAAAATATTATTTAATTTCCTGTCCTGGAAATCACTGGATTTTAACTGTTGATTTTATGATTGTTTATAGCTGAATCCCCTATGATTCTGGAAGTTCTGTAAGCACTGAGACTGTGTTTTATTTATATTGTATACCTAGTGCTTAGCACCTAGAATGCGCTTAATGAGTTTTGTCTAAATGATGCCAAATATATATTCTTTTATAAAACTAGGAATCAGGAAGAGATAAAACTTTATATAGAGACATGTCTTTATTTTGCCGTCTTTGGTGGCCAATTTCCATATTGCAAAATATTCATTAGCTATACTTTAAAAAAAAATATTTTATTGATTTTTTTACAGAGAGGAAGGGAGAGGGATAGAGAGTTAGAAACATCGATGAGAGAGAAACATCAATCAGCTGCCTCCTGCACACCCCCTAATGGGGATGTGCCTGCAGCCAAGGTACATGCCCTTGACCGGAATCAAACCTGGGACCCTTCAGTCCACAGGCTGACGCTCTATCCACTGAGCCAAACCGGTTATGGCATTAGCTATACTTTTTAATTACTCTCTAATACTGTACCTTATGGATACATTATAATTTACTTAATCATTGTTCTATGATTGAGACTGGGATAGACATTTCTTTTTTATTTCATCTCTGATCATTTCCTTGGGATAGAGACCTAGGTGGGAGATCATTTCTTTATGTGTCAATAAGCATGAATACTGTCAAGGCTTGGGCCCCCTATTCTGAAAATGCTTTCCATAACGGTGAGGACTGTCCTTCTACCACCTGGGAATGGGAGTGCACATCACAGGGTGTCTTGCCATCATTGGATGTCCCTAGTCACTTTATTTTTCCTGGCCTATTTTGTCATTATCATTTTCATGGGCATTTTTTGACTAACAGCAGCTTGACTATTTTTTTCTGTTCGTTGGTTGCATTTTTTTTGGTAAGTGATAGAAATCTGACTTCTAATCTCACTGTTGCACTCAAATAAGATCAAAGAACTGAGGGCTCTAGAGAGAGTTGGCAAGAGAGCACCAGAACAATGCGGGGAGGGGAGCCCATACCCATGGGGGTCTGTGTGGGCAAGAACCATGAGGAAGCGTAACAGCCACAATAGAGAAAGGAAGAGGACACAGACAAGGACACTAGCAGAACAAGAAGTTACAGGTTTCAAACCCAACAGCAGAATGTTCAGTGTATAGATAGAAAGTTTTAATTTTGATCGTCAGCAATTGTGGCAAGCCCCAAGATAGGGCAATTTCTGTCTGAGCAAAGGCGACTTGACAAGGCACAGCATTTTGAACCAGATATCCTTAGTTCAAATCCTGGTTAATCACTTACAAACTGTAGGACTTGAGGCCAATTAATTAATGTTCCTTTATCTCATGTGCTCAGCTATAAAATAACCTAATTTCACAGCGAAAAATAGTAGCAGGCTTGAAACAGGAGGAGAACACAACACATTTTGGCTTCCTTCCCTTCTCTGAATAAGGATATGTCAGAAGTATTCTCCTAAGGGTGACGACCACTCATGTTTCGTGTTATCTACTCAATACGTATCTAGGAAGCTCCTTAACTAAGTCTGTCCCTTTGCTGGGCAAGCAAGACAGATACTGTCCTTACTACTACACAAGGTAACTAGTAAGACTGCTAGTATCGTCCCTATTTCACAACTAGAGGCCCGATGCACGAAGATTCGTGCAAGAATAGGCCTTCCTTCCCCTGGCTGCCGGCACCGCCTTCGCTCCGGCCCGGAGCCGCCTTCTGCCTCTCGCCTTGTCGTGTCAATTTGCATATTCCCTCCTTATTGCCTGTGGATGTCGCCATCTTTGTTCTGAAGTTACGGTCAATTTGCATATTCTGTCTTTATTACATAGGGTTGAAAAAACAGGAGAAACTCAAGATCTTGTGTATCTTATGCCAGTGAATTGCAACTAAGTTGGCCTAGAACACAAATCTCTCAATTCCTAATTTACAGCTCTCACTTTGATTATTGTCATGATTATCAACAACAAGCACTATTAATGATTAGCAAATAGGCGAAAACATGAGCATTAAATTATTATTTATGATTTATTGTGCTAATAATCTTTTTGGCCATTTATCATGGTTGGTTATAGGGATGAGGAAGATTCCTGCTGGAAACCAGGATAGTTCTGGAATGAGATGTTTTCACACTGAGCCACCAAGAGCCCTGATCCCAGTGCCTGGGGTCCCCCACACTGCATCCCCAGGATGCTGTCCCTGGACCCGGTGTGCGGGATTTTGTGACCTGCTCAGTAGGCACCAGCCAAGTCTGCCTGAACCCCAGCTACTACCCAACGATGCTCAGCTCACAAGGCATTCAACGTGCCTCGGACTGTGGGGCAGGGCGAGGCCTCCAAGACCCGGTCAGCTGGATGGAGGTCACGCTGCTGGAGGCCGCCCTGACCACCCCTGGCCACCGGACACTGAGCAGCTTTCCCTTCCCACCAGGCCCGCAGCTGTGCTTTTGGCTTCCTACCCTGACCCTCGGCTCACCTTAAGTTGTTAGGTCACTACTGAACCCCACGTTACACATCGGGTTTCAAAATGGTAACCTGCCCCCCTGGAGAGGCAAAAAGAGAGAATCTCTAGTCTAATCAGAACTGGCTACATTTTCAGGGCCCAGAGCAAAATGAAAGTGGGGGCTCCTAATTCAAAAAGCATGAAAAAAGTGCCACTCAAGGTACCAAGATGTGCAGCATTTTCCTTTCTCTGAGTATTTCTTTTGCCCAAATGCACATCCCATTGTTTCATCAAACTTCACTTACAAACACAAGTTCAAAGATAAAATTATTGAGAATTTCAAGATGGCAACAACAGAGCATTTCACCCAAATTAGGGCCTGTGTGAGCGTGGGGCCTGTGCAGCTGCTGAGTCCAGTGTCCTCCAGTCTGTTCTGCCCGGACTGAGGAGAGATGGCTGGGAGGCTGTTCTGCATGGACGGAGGGGGCAGCAGTGGGAGGCTGTTCTGCATGGATGGAGGGGACAACAGTGGGAGGCTGTTCTGCATGGATGGAGGGGACAACAGTGGGAGGCTGTTCTGCATGGACGGAGGGGGGACAACAGTGGGAGGCTGTTCTGCATGGACAGAGGGGGGCAGCAGTGGGAGGCTGTTCTGCATGGACGGAGGGGGGGCAGCAGTGGGAGGCTGTTCTGCGTGGACCGAGGAGGGACTGGCTGCCACTGGTGTGACATGAGACCTTTGCCCCTCGCTACAGTCATTGAACTCTGTAAAAACCACTCCTGGCTTCTTATTGTTAATCTTTCTATTCTTAGGAGCTGAGGAGGTTTAATTATTAGCATCCTTCCCTGTCCCTCTCCCCTTTGGGAAGAAACATCATGAAAAGGTCCACTCTTTGTCTTTTTCCGGCCATGGGGAGACCCGACTATCTTTATATTAAAAACAGCTGGTATGTATTCAGAGAGTACTATGTGCAAGGCACAAATTCCTACCTCAAAAATGTTATGCAGTCACGCATGCATTTTATCTTGGCCATCCTGTGAAAGGCTTACAATTACATGCCCCCCCCCCCCCCAGCTACGGATGAAAAACGGAGGCTCAGAGAGGCCGGCAAAGGGCCACAGGCAGGGAGCAAACACCTGTCTGACTCCACAGCCCACTCTTACCCCTGCCTCTGTATTGCCTTCCTCACACCTTCCCCAACTCTCTGCTCGGTGGCTTGATCTGGTCAACATCAGTTACCTGTGAACTCAATGGGAGAATTCCTTTTCAAGACCAAGGGGACTGGGCTGCTCTAACCTCTCAGTTTGGATTTATTCACATGGTCAGTACACGTCACAGAGTGCGACATTCCTGCGGCCAAATTAGCTGGTGC